ATGGGTTGGTTAGGATGGCTTGGTTAAGGCTCCGGCAGAACTAGGATGGGTTGATTAGGCTTAAGAACCAACTGGGTCTTTTGAAACATCTCGTTTGCTACCTTGTTGTTGCCTAATCTTCCACCCTGGTCCCATAAGTGAGTGCAGAGCAGAGCAGAGCAGGCTGTCAATGCTTCCCTGGGGTGAAGCTCTGATCTGTTTGCACACAGAATTGGGAGGCAGTGGTAAGGAAGGACAAGCCTGGAGGGAGCCTGTCATTCTGCTGGAAGGAGGCAGAGAAATCAGATGGCCCTGCCTGATGGAACTATCTGATGTTAGCGATGCATCTGATGCACGTGGTGCTAGTGGTAGAAGGCAAGTAGCAAGCAAGTTAGCACACATGCCAGGTAACTTCAGAGCATGTTAAAGGGCCACCAGACAATGGCTGAGTGGCCTTATAAACACAGACCCACAAGGAGGGAGGGAGCCGGTTACCCAGGAGTTGGGGGAAGGTCAGGTTGGTCTATCTGAACAGGCAACATTCCAGAAAATTCTGAAAGATGAGAACAGTTCAAGCACAGAGAAAAAGCTAATCCAAAGTCCACATAATGACAAAATTGGTAGTGAACTGTTGCGTAGATTATAACATTCTGATGAGAAGGAGTTTGTGTTTTATTAAAAGACTGTATTGAATTCCCCTGTTGACTTTTTCATTTATAAGATCATTGAGTCTGGGGGAGAGGATACCAGCCTGGAAATTCCCATTTTATAAAAAATCCTGTAAAGTTGACTTGATTGCTGTGAAGCTTCTTACAAGAAAACACCAAAAAACACTGACTAGTCAAAGAACATTGTTGTCTATTTCATTTCTGAGCTCATATTTTTATATAATCATACTGGCCCAGAGTATAGGGCACTCTACAAAGCCAATTTAATTATTTAAAAAATATTGCCAAAAAGAATTCCAATATGAGATGAAAAAAATGTTTAATATTTCCTTCAAAAGTTTCACTGTTACCTATATGTAAATTTGAGAAGACAATTTAAACCCATTTTTCAATGAATATTTGAAGATTTCTTTCTCATTGAAAGTGTTTTTGATTTATTTTGAAGATAATTAAAGAGTAAGATAAAATATTATTGGATGTCCCTTGAGATAAAATATTATTGGATGTCCCTTGCTACAATTCACCATGACATTTCATGTTGTTCCATCTGATAGTTGATATTGAAAGAATCATTGCGTTAGTTACTTACGTTGCTCTTTAGCGAAAATAAAGTGCAAGATTTACAATGTTGTTGAAGACTCTAAGTTTTACTTGATTACTGTTAAGTCATCCTGTTAAGGTAAATCTGAAACTATTGTTTTGTAGCTTTAATTTTTTTAAAAGACTTTTTTATTTTTGCATAGAAGACCTGGGGTATAGGCCAGAGATGTGTGTGTGTGGTGGTTGTGGGGATGGAGAGGATTCACCAGACACAGAGTGGGGAGCAGAACAGACAGATCGACTGAAGTACACTGCTGGGGGAAGCAGTGGGCAAGGCAGGAGAGGTCTGCTGTACCATGTGGATCAGCTACCTGGCCAGAGATCAAAAACTCGTGTCACAGTGGTTGGTGATAGTTTGATAGTGCTGAGATTTTAACCCCTCTGACACCAGGGAGGCACTGTAGCTTTAACTTTTATATTTCATTGCAACCTAAATCCTAACTACCTTTTTGAATTTTTAGTAAAATATATATAACAAACTGTACCATTTTACCAATTCTTTTTGTTTGCTTTTATTTTTTAATATAATTTGTTTATTTATTTGTTGTTGGGGACCAGTTCCAACTATCGAGGTGTCCGGAGGCTAGACAGGCAGGGCCCTAAGTTGGGAAGGTGTCAGTGAGTAGAGATCCCAAAAGGGGAGAAGGGAGCGGACGCGAGGGAGACAGGGGAGTCAGAGTTGGGTGCAAGTCTTCCTGCTCATTCCCTCAGCAGGTCTTTATTTATACTCTGTAACAAGTAGTTAATTGTAATAATGCATAGGGTAAGTTAATGAGAAATTGTCATAAATGTTTTCAAGGACAAGGGGAACAAAGTATCTTTTTCTTAACATTTTATAGTATACTAAATTATACATTTTTGTGGTAATTGTCATGTATATAGATGTTTAGCTATAACTCAAGGGAACAGGGGTCTGGGAAAGGATGAGCTTGTTAGCAAAAGGTTATTAGGGGTTTTAGGGAGTAATAAACTGTGTTAGCAGTGTTATCAGTGCTTGTCTAAAGAAAAGCTAATGGATAATTTTAGGCTAGCAGAGAGTAGTTAGTGCTTGTTTTAAAAAGGAGTAAATTAAGAGAAAGTTGTACAGTTGTGTATTAAGTAACACCTGTGTAAACAAGGTTAAAAATTGTCCAGGAGTCCTTATGCCCTGGAAGTCTTATCTGAGATTTGCCTTTTATTTTGAAGAAACCAAGGAAGCTTCCCAGGAGTTTTTAATGCCCTGAGG